GTTGGTTGCATTGATATTAAGTCCTTTGGCCTGCCTGGTGGGAAGGCTTTTGATTTCTCCCGCCTTTGGAGGATTGGTCTTGGCCTTGATAGCCACGGCCCTGTCCTTGCTGTCCTCGAGGAGTGAAAGTCCTTTGTCTCTTCCCTGCATTAGAAGAAGAGGATTGACCCTCCTTCTTCTTGTCTTTAACACCTGCTTCCCGGATTTTTCGTGCATCTTCTATCTCCCTCTCAATGGCCATAGCTGTTGTGACCATTGAGTCCAAGTCTTGCAACATGAGGCCCACAATTTGCTTCGGATGGACAACTTCAAGCCATCCTCGAACTTCCTCACCTTGGCCATGTCTGTGGCCACATAATCGTCGGCGAAAAGTGCTAATTCCGTGAACTTAGCTACATATTCCATCACCGACATCATTCCTTGTCTCAACTCTAAGAACTCCCGTGCCTTTGCATGTCTAGTAGCCGTCGGGAAATACTTTCCCATGAAGAGTTCCTTGAATTCTTCCCAAGCCATTACCTCCAAGTTCTTGGAGTCCTTGACCCAATCCCACCACAATTGGGATTCTCCCTCCAGCTGAAATGTTGCTAGGGTTATCTTACTGGCGTCGGAGGTGATCTCCATAGCTCTTAAGATTTTGTCAACTTGCCGGAACCAATGATCAGCTACCATCGGATCCGCCCATCCCTTGAGGATCGGAGTCTGGTGTGCCTTAAACCTCTGGAGGTGACTTGAGCCTCCTTGACTCCCACTTGCACTAGCATGTGCAATGGTAGCAGCTGTAGCACTAGCTTGTGCAGTTGTAGCAGCCGCAACACCAATAGCCTCCACGAAGACTTGTTGGTCAAAGGTCGGTGGTGATTGATTGTTCCACCCACTGCCTCGGCGTCCTCTTCCTCTATTTTTCATCTACACACATGTAAGATAACAATAGAACATTCACATAGAGTCCTAAGATAGGGATCAAAATTGAAATGTTGAGAATTGTTTTTATTTTCATTGTCTCACTAGTAATGCATGTGCCACATACTAGTAGATATTTACACATTGAACTATACTGTTCATTCTTGTTCCGACCCCTAAGTTTATATTTTCTAACTCTAGTGTCATTTCCATTCCACATACATTTCTATCATGCATATTTTATTTCACATAACACATAGCACAAAACATGTATCAAATATAAACACATAACATTAAAATGCATAATGAATGCAATGGTCTAGACCCAATGTCCATTAGCCCTCGGTAATCGCATACCTATGCTCTGATACTAAGCTGTGACGCCCTAAAATTCAGGGGTCCATTGATCATCTATTAACCCGCATAATACTTGTGGATATCGTGTAATTCGATATCACACCGTTGTGTCCCATTTACATGGATCCATAATTTCACAAAATTTGGACAAAGTCTCCTTTGTATGGGGAGTTCTACCCAAAACACAACCTGTGCATCATACAATCAAATGACCCATTCGAGGTCTAATATACAATATTGACCACACCGGGTCTATTTAAAATACACATTGACCACACCGAGTCCGTTTAAAAGTAAACATATAATAGCATTCAAGATTTCATTAAAATAGTCCAAAACTACTTAGTGAAATGTTTTACAAAAACGTAGTTTTTCACAATAGAACTTGATATCTACAAGTTCTATTACAAGCCATTTACACGGTTACATGTCAAAATGGAATCAAACCTAAGTTTTACACAAAACTTGATTTCAAAAGCCACAGACCAGCTTTTCTCCACCCTCGAGGCCCTGAATGTGTGTCATCCATAGAAATATGCCTCACACCTGAAATGTGTTCCCGTATAGGGTGAGACAAGCTCAGTAGAGTATTTTTTACAGACACTACTCCCTACCTAAGTGCATATGAATGTATACATGCAATAATACACAACCAATATCCATTCCAATGCAAGAATATGTAATTCATGTTGGAATCTATCGTGTCATGCCATGAAATGAAATGAGACTCACTCGTACACTTCACCCCGAGCCCTCACCGGCTCCCACCACACAATGCAATGCACGTGTAAAACCTTTATCATTGATGGAATACATCCAATGATCATTTTTGAAATACAATCTATGTGTTTATAAAATCAATTCATTTTTGGATATTTCCTATCAAATGAATGTTGTTTATTACAAAATCATGTGTCTTTGTTGGGTATCGGATTCCAGAATCACACCGACTGGCTTTGTACGTCAATACACTTTTTCAAAATTTCACCTCAGGGAAGTGTATGAACCAAGTAGCCGGATTTTTCATCTGAGGGAGTGTCTAGCCCTTCTTGCTATACCCGACACAAGTTTTTCTTATGCAACCATGTGACCCCATTGGATCTTCAATCCTACATTTTTGAGTTCACATATCAATCACCAAGAGTGGTGTTTGACTATACCATGCATACACACCCAACCTCATGCCCAAGTCTATGAATGTGATGCCAACCTCATGCTCAAAATGTAAGGAAGCCAAATGAGCAATTTCAATAGCTATGACATATCCATGTGTAATGAATGAATGCCATATGAATTATGTTCTTTTATCACATTTCAACAATTACATTTCCAATGAAAATCACCTCATAAGCATATGATTTCAATTTCATCAAAATGACACTTCAATCATTCAAGACATTTATCAAATACCCATACAAGACATAATTTATATAAAAATATAAAATACCCACATAACAGCCTCAAAACAGGCTGCATAACAGCCTCAAAATAGCCCACATAACACCCCAAAATAGCCCGTATAACAGCCCCAAAACAGACTGTATAATAGCCCCAAAATAGTCCATATAACAGCCCATAAAACAGCTCTAAAATAGTCCACAAAACAACCCCAAAACAGTTCACAAAATAGTCGATAAAATAGTTCCACATAACAACCCCTTATGAACACTATAGGCTAGAAATGAACCGGAGTAGGAGGGAACCTTACCTCTTGGAGCGTAATAAAAGTGGTAAAATTTCAAGAACACTAACCAAAATCTCTAAAACTTGATTTTTTTTCCAAAATATCCCCTTTAGATCTTTAGTGAAATCCTTCGTTTTTGATGTGGTTGCGTAGCCCTCATCGATATGATTGACTAACTCTTGGATCGATAGAATCTGACCGACGGAACTCCGTTAATCAAAGGACAAAGATTAAATTTTCTCTTTTCTCCCTCTTTCTCTCTAACGTTGAAGACCAGCTGAAATGCAGAGATATTTGTGCAAAAAATCTGATTTTAGCCCCTAATTATAATTTTCAAGGCGTGACTCTCGTCGTGCCAAGTGTCCCTCACTTGTTCGAGTTCGTTTTCACCCGAAACGATTTAATTTCGCACCGGTTTAAGTTGAAATTAATTTTATTTAAAATTTTATTCAATTATAAGAAAATATTATAAATTTTATTTTTGAAAATCTTTGAAAGGTCATTCGTCAACAATTGTCTCGTAAAATGTGTAAAATTCGACTATCTTGAAATTCAACAAAAATTGATAAGACAGGTCAATTTCGTGATACGAATCCAACGGTGAGATCCGTTGCATCATCCGAGTTCTAGAACAATATGAATTTTAAACCCGCATTATAGTGATAAATTACCATTTTACCCTTTTTCATAAAAAGTTCAATTTTTTTTTGCGTTTTACACAAATATCCCAACATGCAAGGATAATGTTCCATAAACATATATCATATAGCTTTAACTATATAGATAAAATCAAGTCATAGCATAAAATATCTAACAATTTTTCACTTGAATTGAATCAACCAAAAACAGCAGTCAATATATATTGCATGATTTATGCACCTATTTCGGTTGGTACATTTACCACAATTGAGGTGTCATTGATATATACACTTGAAAAAATAGATTATAAAACAATAAGTGACACAAAACAAATATTGAAAAATAGAAGTATTAATGAAAAGTTTAAAAATGAAATTTAGAGTAAGGATTTATCAAAGTAACAGGTTTATGCACACTTTTGCATAATGTAGTGAGAAATTGCTCCGCATGAGGGCAAATTGCTACATACAGTGAAGGAATTTCTTAAACATATGTATAAAAGTAAAGAAACATGATCAACAATGGTGGAATAAATAAATCAACCTCGGATTCAAGAGAGAAACAATCAATAATCAGTGAGCTCAACAATAGGAGGGAGGAGAACGAAATTATTGATGCATTGCCTACCCAATAGAATGAAACAAGCATACAACTAGTCTGAGAAAAATAAAGAATGACATCCAAAATATTAATCAGAATTCTAACAAAAGGCTCGTAGTGTATATGTGCAATATATCAAGGGTAGGAAACAATTAAGAACTTTATACCTCAGGAATTTGTTAAAAAGTACTATAATCTAAGAAGAAAAATAAATAATTTTTTTTTATCTTTTTTGCAACAATAGGGGATCCTACGTACAAAACAAACAAAAAGAGAGCACAAAAAGAATAAAGAGATACTCACTCCTTTTTATATTTTGAGAGAGTCGCCAATTGAACCACCATTCTTAGTCTTTTGACTCTTTTGGCACCATTGATTGCATGGAAGATGATACTTTTCTCTATATTACATTAGAAAGTGCACCTAAAATGAATTAAGACTGGCACAATAATCAAATCATGGCACATAAAATGTGTAAAAATTGGCGACAATTCTAAACAACTAAATCCAGGTTATGGCTTACGGTGGTGGCTTATAGTGGTTGGTGGCAGTGGTTTGGCCATGGTGTAAAAGAGAAAAGGGGGAAAGAAATGAGCAAATTGATAGGGAGAGAGATCAATATTACCCTAGACCCAATTTCACAATACCATACAACAAACCAACATACCGATCCCATGGTTAGAGCTCAAAGCTAGAGATCAATATTAGGGAAGTAGGGGTTTAGGTTCTTGAAATCCTTTGTAATAATTCTCACTGAAAGCCTTACGGTAGAAAATTAGAAAGGCAAAAAAAATAAGGATGGTGTATGTAAAATCAGGTCGGTGGGTGTGGCTGTGGGGAAGTTCCGGCAATAACAACAAGAGAGAGGGCAGCGGCTGGGAGTGTGTTTGTGTGCGCAGAGAATTGTGGTGCACAGAAGTTAGGGGCATTTGGTCGAACACCTCTCGGGTGTTGTGTTGAAGACCTTCGATATAGAAGCAAAGAGAGACAGAGAGATAAGTAGTGTGTACCTATGTGGGATGATGTTTGTGGTTAAGCAACGGAGAGAAAAAAACAGCAAGGGAGAGAGGGCTAAGGACATTAACGAATGCTCACATAAACACACACACACATTGATGATGCACAAATTAGGTTTGTACACTATCTGTCAGATGAGCAGTAATAAATACAATGGTAAAGTAGAGAGATAGGAACACAAACAAGACAAAGATTTACAGTGGTTCGGTCAACGTGACTTACGTCCACTTTGAATGCCTAGGATCGTCGGGACATTTTATTATTTCAATGATTGTAGGGGGAGCAAGGAGATACAAGCTATAAGAGATATAGAGATGTGCTCGACTGAGTGTGATGCCCCCAAGTGTTGGCGGAACTTACAATTTATAGTCGTTTCCTAATAGATTGAGGCGGCTTATCAGTAACTAATTTGCTACTTTGGTGGAGGTGGCGTCATCTTCACAATGGATGAGGCTATTGCGGGGCTCTCTTCAAGATCAAGTTAGAGATGACGTGGCAGTTGACTTTTTCCAAGACAGTGTGGATGAGACTCTTGGATGACCTTGCTTACTCCCTTGTTGATGTAGCTCCCCGAACCCTAATGAGCTTGACCTCTTTGGGCTGAACTTACTAGATCTCTTGAAGTTGGGCTCCTAATTTAAACTGTGCTCACAACGTGAGTTGGGCCCTTGGGCTTGACCTGTCACATAAGAACACAAACATAAACACACAAAAAGAAATCGGTGCTGGTTTGTGTTAACAGTGCGCGCGAACGCGTGTGTGTGTAAGAAAGAGAGAGAGAAAGGGCGTATCTAGGAAGTGCAGCGAGAGAGAGGGATCAACGGAGTATTAGAGAAGATATCAATTGCGTTGGAAGAGAGAGGAGAAATAGGTAAAGATCGTCTGATAAGGATCAAAGATCATAGAGAGATTATGATAAGGAAAGAAGATAAAAAATCCCCGAATTTGAAGAGAGAGAGAGAGAGAGAGAGAGGCGTGGGTCAGGTAATGTTGTTGGACGAAAAAATAAAATTCAGTACTCACTGTAGACTATTGGATCAATATTTATGAGATGATCTGAACCGTCTTTTATGTTGGGATTACATTGTCTGTTGGATGTATTTATGTTTTGTTTCAAAACGATCTGGTTCTCTCTTTGTCTCTAAAATTCAAACTTAGCTTTATTTTATTATATAAATTATACAAATAATTTTGAGTCAAAATCTGAAAATTGAGATTATGTCCATCTACCTATTATAAGATTGTGGTTATTAGATTAGTTGTGGTTATCAGATTAGTTTCAGAGTCCTTGATGGAAGGAACCTGATAAAGTCAATCTATCTAAATGGATTGGGGTCCCTGACCTGCCTATAAATGAAGACTTGTGAATGTCATAAGATGTACAATTTATTCTGAATGTAGGTCAAGTTAGAAACTTTTTTCTCACACCTCCATAAAGTATTAATGAGAGTGCTTAGTTTTTATGAGTGTTTGATTAAGAAGGCTCGTGATTTAGAATTTAAAGTTACAAGATTTGAACGACATGACAGGAGGTAAGTATTCTACACCGCTACGATAAGTAATTCTCCACTTAGGTCTAAACAATTGTATCTAGGAGTTATCACTACCATCCAAGCCCTCAGTTCGAATGTTTATTCCCAACTTTATCAAGTGAGCTCAAGAACTCGGGAAAAGAATAGATTTGCATCAGCAATCTACGCCTACACTAGAAAACTTATTGGGGGAGAAAATTCTAAACCATTACTTTGCAGGGCAACTCAAAAGGGAGGAAGAAACTATTGAACCAAAGAACTAGGATCAATGGCTAAAAAGAGGGGATGCTCATAGTAAATTCTTTCATGCGACGATAGTTGTTAGAGGATGGAGGAATTCCATGGGCTGCGTAAAACTTCCCGATGGAACATGGACTTCAGAGTTCCTTTAGAATAACACCCTCAATCATGTGCAATATCCCAACTAAGTCTTATGTTTCAATCTTTTAAAGTTAGTTATATGAGTTCGTCTTTGTCATAATGGAAGAAATTAGAGACACATTGATCGATATGGCATCCCTCAAAGGACCTACTCCGGATGGGATATCCGGCCACCACATTCTACAAAGTTTACTGGCAAATCTTAGGAAGTGGAGTGCATAGGAGTGCAATATACACAGTAGCTATAATCCCCCCCTTTTGCACATGCCACGTATAAAATGCCCAACTTCCACTTTTTTACAATAAGGTTAAAGTTGTCTTTTTGCATAGAATCTGCGACCTGACATTTACTATTTTAGTAGGTCTCACAAAACCCATTTATATGTAAATAAAAAAGAGGTTGTATTGTATAGGAGTGCAATACTGATACAAATTTCTCATTTTACAGGTTCGGTATAGATAGTATTTATTAAATACTGAGACACATTATCCGCAAAATAATCACACCCATAGTTGTATACATAAAAAATGGCGACCTAGTACACAAGACCTTTGTTACTCTAGAGTCTGTAATAGGAGTTGACTACGATATCGAAAAAAAAAATTTGGTACCATATCTCAATTTATTACATTTGTAGTTATTTTTATAATATTTATGGGTGCTTTTACTATTTTTGTGGTATCCTAAAAAATAATAAAAATAGTTATCGCAACAGTTGTAAAAATATCTACAAATATAATAAAAATACCCAAAAATATAATAAAAACATCCAAAAAATGTGATAAAAATAATTATCATAAATGTAATAAAAACATTCAGAACATATAAATCACCCACAAAAAAAATAAATTTTTTGATTATAAAATGACCTATAAAAATTAAAAAACAGCCCATTAATATGATAAAAGTTAGAGATAAGATATCAAAATTATTTCTTCACTGTCGTAGTCAAGTCTATTGTAACATTAGATAGATTTTTACGATCAAATTAATTTTTTTTTGGTATGATTACCATAAAAAAGACAAGACCAAGCGGTCGCAATCATAATAAAACCAAGTCAAGTGTCAGCAAGCGTTGACCCACCCCCATGTTCTCGTTTTTTGATCAAAGTTGACCCCATTTTCACACTCTGACCTCATTGAACGACAATTTATGTAAATTTCTTGTGTATTACATAAGATTGTAATTGCGCACATAGTCACGGCGCAAAAAAGTGTAAAATTGGGATAATTAATGTTAATGCAAACAAGAATAGTGAGACACCGTGGTTGAACTCGAAAAAATAATCAATGAAAACTTAAACCCTTTATAACAAAAAAAAAAAATTTGGTCCCTACATGGAAGGTTGGTTGTTATGACTTTGCCATACACGGTTTTTTCTATGGTCCTAATTGATACGAATAGGCTTGTGGACCATAACCATTAATTTGTATTAAAAATTCGTCAAGAATAATCATAAACAACGACCATGTTAAAGTCTCGAGACTTGGGGGGTGCTGACCATGTCAAATGTTGGACTCGAGCTTCTTGCTTTTCATTTTCTAGCCATTCTGCTCCAATCTATTCTTGAAGAGAAATAAGGGGAACCAAAAAGAAAAAGGAATTAATCACTATATTATAGGTGAGATTCGTGTTTAATTCAGACAGAACTGAATGAATTCTTAACTACTTATACAACCCTAAATATGAAGTTTTGTAATTGGGGGTGTTATTTGTTGGGAGAATGATATCATAGATGTATAAAACTTATTGAATTTTCAATATTAAATCATATAATTAAGAACAAAACAATAACACATTAAAAACTATTTTAATTGTGGAACAAAAACTGTTTAAGAATTTGATTAATACTAGTGTTTTGACATATTTCTTTAAAACAGATGTCGCCAAAACTCAAGGTTTTATAGCCAAAAACTGTTTGGGTCGAACATTTTTGACTATAAGTTTATGCTTTGTAGTCCCATACCAAACTATATATTTATATAATAAAATAAGAGTGTATTTGAATTTTGTCTAGTCATATTTTTCTCCTCAAAATCATCATCAAATCACTTATCTCATCTATCATCTTTTTGTCGGATTCAAACATCAAATCGCATCACTTATTTCTATCATATATTTAATTATTTATATATTTCTTCTTTAAAAATATCATATCACTCATTTTTTATTATATATTTAATTATTTAATATTTGATTAAATTGTAGTTAATATATTTTTTAAAAAATTAATATAATATGATCAATTTTTTAGACACTCGAATTTTATATTTTATCATGCCCGCGATCACTGGTTATAACTTGTATCAAAACTCACTTTCCTGAGACAAAGTACAACAATCTTTTTTTGGAGGTTATAGAAGATGAGTTTTGGGCCCAGTTTTTACGCATAAATTTAAGGAGGGCAGACTCTCACAAGCCACACCATTCCGTCTCATACCCAAACCATTTCAATAACTTCTCTCTCTCTCTCTCTCTCTCTCTGTTGCTAGAGGTTTTTTGTTCATCAAATTCAGGAAACTAAGAGGATGAAGGTGTAATTACACTGCCCTGAATACAGCTAATTAAATACTATCTAAAACCCAGAAGTTTATGCTAATTAGTATTTGTTTGGTTTGTTTTGCTGCAGCAAAAGGTGGTGATTAGGGTGCCAATGAATGGTCAGAAGTCTCGTTCCAAGGCAATGAAGATCGTCGTTGGTGTCTCAGGTAAGGAAATTTTGCAGCTCCGAAAGCCTCTGGTTCTTCGGTTTCGGTTCGATGCAATTTTTATTTGTTTAAATTACAAAAATGAAACGATTTAGTTAGATTTTTAAGCTCATTATGTAAACGAACTGATTCTAAGCATCATATGATTCGGCTTTGAATAAGCTCAACTTGGTTCAATTTGTCCATGATTAATGCTTTTGTTTTTACCAAAATACCCATCTAAAATGTGAACAATCCTAAAACTCATATTCAAATAGCTCGAAACTATAAAAATTTAAGAATTTTTAAGTTTTAAGTTTTGACTTCACGACTAACTCGAATGCTCGTAATATTTTGTCTGAGTTGAAGTTGATCACGAACCTTAACTTTACAATTGAGCTCGTGAAAGTTAGCTAGTCACAATCAAAGTTAGCCAATTTCAAACAAATTTGAACTCAACAAAGGTCAACTCGACTAATAACTTTATCTTATATTTTGCAGGGGTAGAGTCAGCATCGTTACAGGGACAAGAAAATAATCAGATAACGGTGGTTGGAGAAAATATCGACCCGGTGGTGCTCGCCACGTTGCTGCGGAAGAACGTTGGCTCAGCGGACCTGGTTAGCGTTAGTCCGGTGGGTGGTGAAGAGAACAAAGAGAATGTGGCGACGGCACAGCCTCCGGTTTGGTCCCATTCCTACTATCCTGCCGTTGTGCCCCAGTACCCAATGTACCCAATTTATCAGGCTGACCCAATCTGCACCATTTTGTGACTTCCCAAGTAGGGTGTTGATCGGAAGTGGTTGCATAGAGAGGGTATTTGTCGATTCCCAGCCGAGGAGGCTGAGGCTCAGTACTACTGTTATTTTTGGGAGTTCATAGCTTGCTACTTAGTTGTGGTGTTGTTGAAGTATGCAATTCTAGTATTCGTTTTTGGAATAATACTATAGCTTTAAAGACGTCCGAATAATGTTTGCAGTCCAATATAAATAGAAAAAATAATGCCATTACAAGGTAATTTGAAAATCTTAGTTTCAGTATTAATCTAAAGATCATAATGTATCCGATCTTACAATTAAAATCTTTAATTAGGTACAAGTAAAATTAATAAAACATCTAACAATATAATTCTCCAGTTTCGGTTTAGTGACTTGGTAAGTAAATGGGCGTGTGGTTTGCGAGTAATATTTTGTGCTCAAAGTTTAGGTTACAATCATAAATCTATAAGATGAATGGTTGATAACGGAACGTGGGTGGCTCGTGAGTCATGAATTGACACTAGGCATAAGATTGCCAGTAGAAATGTCCCTTTGGAGAAGCCACGGACCGAGACCGACATGGCAAGCGTAAATAGGAAAAGTTTTGGCTTTCCAACGTAGATGTTGAAGTTGCCCACCGCAATTTGTCATGAAAATGTGTATTTTTTTTTTTTTTTGATCAAACATGGAAACGTGTAGTTAGAAGAGTGTTTCTTGTTGTTCCGTTTATGGTTTGGCATGGCCAAGGACAATACAATATAATTTAAATTTTAAAAAATAAATAAAATATTTTTTTTCGCGATTAAAATCTTTTTAAATTTTATTTTAAAATTAATCTGATAAATAATATTAATACCTCAAATTTAATAGATAAAATAGACAACTAATGATGTGTTTGTGGTGATTTTTTAAAAGTGTTTCTAGAACTTATAATTTATCATCAGTACTTTAAAAAAAATTTAGTATTTGAAACCGTCTCACTACCACCACCACTACCGTTATCGTTGCCACCCCACCATTGCCTTTGCCACAACTATCACCAACTATCATCGCCACTCACCATCAATTGTTACCATCGTCGTCCACTGTCATCACCCATCACCATCGTCATCTCATTTTTTTATTTATTGCCACTATTACTATCATCTCATTATCACTGTTGCCGACCGTTAGCACCCATCATCATCATTGTTGTCCATCACCACCATTTGTCGCTTACCATTGTCGCCAACCACTGTCACCCACCCCCGTCATCACCCGTCATCGCCCACCACTACCGCCACCCACTATCACCCATCCCCACCACACCTACCACTACTATCATTTGTCATCATCCATCACATTGTCGCCCAGAAGCAACCGTCCTCGCCCACCACCACCATCATCACCACCCACCCACACCCACATTCACCACCACCGTCATCATCACCCATGTCTTTCTCTATTACATTCGTCACCCAAAATCCACCGCCAGCATTACCGTTCCACCCACCACAATTATCACCGTTTTTCACAACGACCATTGTCGCTCACCACCGTTCACACCACTCAACTCCACTACAATCGATGTTTAAATTTTTATCTTTCTCTTCTATATTTGTGATTTATTTTGAGTGTAAATATAAATATGTTTATTGTTGACAATTTTATACAAAAATGCATGTTTGATTGTGAAAAATACATGAATTCTTGACTTCTAAATTTCTATTCTTGATTAAATTATGTTTTTATCAAATACTCGTTTTATTCTCAAGAAATCGTGAGTTTTGGAAAAACCCTAGAATTTTGATATCGTAATTGTAAAGCTTTTTTTTGGTTATGATCTCTTACATAATTTTATTTCATTATACTAACACATTGAGAATTGTGAAATTTGTGCTACATGAGTTGATGAAAATTGTGATTGGTTGGGTATCCAGTTTTGATAAAGTTGTAGTTTTTATTTTTTGTATGGTTTGGGTGTGATAGACTTGGATTACCTTTCAAAGCTGTCGTAGAGTGTTAGATGTTAGTATATCCCAGTGGGGGTGAAATAGTTGTCTAACACTTGTAGTGACTTGTTGCTGATGAGATCAACTATTATTGTTCACATATGTTCAAGGTTGAGGGATGACATACCTTTCCTGAGAAGGATTTATCAATGTCGTGTGAGACGGTATACACCTTTCCTAAAGTGGTTTATGATTTAACCCTACGGAGAATGATTGAGATTGTTGGTATTATGGTGTGTGAACAAGGTAGGATCGTTGTGTAGATTCCTAAGAAACAACCAACATGCATGAGATACTTGAGAAAAATTGAGATGTCGTTATTAAATTATTTATTGATTACTCGAATCTTTAAATGTTTGTTCATGTCATTGATTTACTATATTTCGTACACTTGAGATCATTATAACTATCATTATTTTTCTTTTAAATAGGTATATATGTTATTTTTCAAAAAAGACATGCCTTCTTCTTATTGTTGTAAAACCTTGTCTGAATTTGAGAGGAATTTTCTATGAACTTTTGCTCACCCCTACGACAATACATTTACAGATTTTCCCATAGAAGATAATGATGATGTGGATGAAGACTTGACCATTGCTATCAAGATGAAGACCTTGTAGTGGAATCAAGATGAAGACCTTGTAGTGGAAGACACTTGGCCATTGCTATCACAAAGAAATTGTTGAGGACATGAGATTGATCCATCTACATATCCTAAGAGTGAATGAGCTCTTAAAATCGCAGAGATTTGGTACTTCCAAGTCACATAATTGGTTGAATCCAGTCTGGTAGAAATCAAATTGCAAATATTAAAGAGTAGGAAGATTAGCGAATGAGAAATCGAAATTGAAGATGATGAAGTAACTGAAGTAGAAGAGGAATCTAATGATGAATTTGCTGCCATTGCCAAGATCTTTCATAGAAATTTCATGTATATCTTTGTAGAAGTGGCTCTGATACCATGATAGAAGACAAAGATCAAATAACATAGAAGGGAGATGGAGAGGGAGAGAGAGAGAAGAAGAAGAAACAGAAGAAGAAAACAATATGTGTAAGATTAGTTTCTCATTGATTATGTTAGATCATCAAATCTTTCATATATATACATCCTGAATTGGATACAATTAGCAAATAGCTCATTATAGCAAAACTTATACATCTGTTACACATTGGTTTTGATAACATATTCTCCAAGTTGAGCTGGATTCTATTGTAATTGCTTGAAGCTATGATTTGGTGTTGTTGAGCTTGACTGAGAGTAGCTGCAACTGCTCACAGCTGAGGATTCTTCAGGGATGATACTGCTAACACATGTCAAGATTCAAAGTGTTGGAACATACCTCTGATATTACTTGTTGGTTTTGCACATCGGATAATTAATACAAATAATACTTGTTGGAAGATAAAAATTCAAAGATGGGAAAAGAATAAAAAATACAACACAAAGATATAACATGGTTCGATACAGCGTACCACATTTGTACACAGTACCTACATTCACAGACCAAAAACCTGCATCGATGTATTATTCATCGAAAAACTCATCATCTGGTAACTGATTACATAATACTAAACTCTATTTATAGGGATAAAATATTATAATCAAAACATATTTAGATACAACTTGATCTTTATGTTTCCTATTACATGTTTAACATACCTATTCATAGTATATTAGAACTCTTTCAATATAATCATATCTCATATGTAATTCTTACATTGATTACCCAACAAACTCTCTTTCAGAACAATTAGAGAGTTTGGATTAAATTCCAACAACTTCCCTTGAATCAAACTCTTCAAATTTGGTCTTGCCCAGGGTTTAGCACCCTTGATTTTGATCCACCAATTTTTCCAAGCACCATGTGCAAACTTGCTCTTTTGATTCGTCACTATCCTCTCTATCTTTCGAGAACTTGCATCTTGGCTTGCATCATCTGTGCATCTCTATCCGCATTTTATCTGCTCTTGGGAGGTTTTAATGGTCAATGCTTCACCATTCAAATGTAAAAGTCCAGTGACTCGTAACTCACGAGACAACTTATCATCACTATTAGGTTTATGTTGGTCCAATAGCTTCCAAACTTTTGAAATACCATGACTTCAACTCAAAAAGCCCAAAATCCTGAAGAAACATCTTCAATAGCACGTGTGGTAATAATTCTTGAAATCCAAACAATCCAAAAGCAACTTGGTCTTCCGTTTGATTTCATATCAATTTTAAATTTTTTCTTATGAATGTAAACAAAAATATAAATTGTACATACGTGACAAGAGAGTTTTCTTCAAAATGAATACTAACTTAATCATTGAAACGCTAAGTTGATTATTGCACCATGAGCGTCAATTTGGCTTTGATTGTTTTACCAAATCATCAATCTAACTCTGATTGTTGTATCAGGAGTGTCAATCTGGCTCTGATACCATTTATTGATTTTGCATAATGAATACTTAATACAAATAATACTTGTTAAAAATAGAAAATCAATAAAAACATGACACAAAGATATAACGTGGTTCGATATAGCGTATCACCTTGGTACACAGTACTTACATCCACAGACCAACAACCTATATCGATGTATTATTTATAGAAAAATTGATCATTTGGTAACTGATTACATAATACTTAACTCTATTTATAGGGATAAAATACTGTAACTCAAACCTATTTAGATACAACTTGATTGTTATGTTTCTTAACACATGTCTAATATATCTATTCATGATATATTAAAATTATTCCAATATAAACCTATCATTTATATGATTATCACATTGATTATCCAATAAACTCTCAATCATAACAATTAGAGAGTTTGAATCAAATTCTAACACAAAATCTAAGGCTAAAAGATCAAATATTAATACTTTAATTATTAAGAATCTTCGAGAGAGCTTAAAGGCTTCTCCTTGATATTTAAAAGGTGTAGTTGAACTTATGACGTTCTAGTTTTGTAACTAGTTTTGTGTCGTGAGATATTATTTTATTTATACACCAAGTGTATGAACGAAACAAACTTTCTAGTATTGTTTCATGTGATTTTTTTTTTTGGACATATTTTGAATTTCATTGTATCTCTTATTTTTTTTATTTAATAAACATATTTACCTTCTAAAAATACCTAGAAGCTCGCATCCTCGTTGCATTCAAAAAAGTTAACGGAATCCAATAGATCAAATCACATGGAAAATACATACTTTTGAATGTCAAACGAGTAAGGAACCTTGATATGTGGGTCCCGTTGAGTCATTTGAGTATGGACCCTTGTTGTGTATGATCCTCCCAATAGTTATGATGTGTGATATATATGATAATAACGTCTTAACCTCTCATGGAAATTTTTCATTGAAAACTGTACATCTTAGTAATTTCAATTGCTATCAGAAGCAGCAAATAAGGTAAAGTTAGTTAGTTTTTTATGGTTTACGTTATGACAATGTTTAAGGAAGTTCCATATAATTTCCCAGTGAAAACAACATTTGTTGATAATAACGTTTGGAACGAGGGGACCAAGACCTAAGTCTTTTTTTTTTTTTTTTTCAAATCTTGCTTATAAATTATGGGATTTGATCTTTGGATGTGCAAGGTGTAGTTGAAGGATGCAGCAGTTTTGGGTTCGGAAGACGGGCGCTATTGTTGTATCCTCAAGTGCGGTAAGTTCTGATCTCTTTTGGGCGTTTTTGAGTTAGAAATAGTTCTAGATGCAGAAAATAACACATGTACATCGTAATTTTTACGCTTCGTTCTGTTTAACCAAATTCAGTATCACCAGCTTTTAAGCCCATCTGAAATTGGAAACCTATTCCATTCTGAACTCTATCTATGTCCTTTCTAGCTGAAATTTGTAAAGTTGAGGAAATTGCTTGCCGCCAAGTTGTTCATAGTCTCAGAAAAAACAACAGTAAGTTGTACATATTGAATCTTTTCAGTTTTCACCAATCTAGTTTATGGTGTGCGACATGAATAGAGTTCACCTACTATTTGGTTCATTTGAATTCCTAGGATTTGGTTTCGTATATTTTATTTTGTTCTTTATCTGGACTATGTATACATACAAAAAAGATAATCTAGTACACGAAATTTTTGTTATTATAGGAAGAATCAATGGTACTCATTTACCCCTGCAAGCGAATTGTATTGTATTTACGACTCAAACTCTTAATGTTAATGTCATAATGGATACAACTAAGATTCATTTTATATATTATTAGTAGTTATTGTCTGTACTTGAAGGCACAAAGTAATAAAAAATAAAAAATATATTTGTATTTATATACAAATTTAAATCACAAACATAGAGGAGAGGTAAATAATTTTAAATATCTTTTATAGTAGTAGTGAGAGGTGGTAGGAGACAGTGGTGGTGGTAAGAGACGATAATGGTTGTAATGGGTGGTAATGACCATGGTGGCGGTGGTGGTGGTGGCGGTGGCGACTGCGATGGTGGTGGTGGTGACGACGATGGCGACGATGATGGTGGTGATGGGAACGACGGTGACGATGGTGATAGTGACGACGACGATGGTGGTGATGGTTGTGGTGGCGATGGCGATGGTTGTGGTGATGATGATTGTGGTGGCGGTGGCGATGGTAGCGGGAGGGTGGTAATGGTGGTGGTGGTGGTGGTAGCGGGAGGGTGGCAATGGTGGTGGTGGTGGCGGTGGCGAGAGGATGGTGGTGGTAATGTTTGTGGCGGTGGCGACGACGATGATGGTGACAACGACGACAATAATGGCGGTGGGGGTGATAGTGGTAGAGCGGTTTCAAATACTATTTTTGTTTAAATATTTATGAGAAATAATTTTTAAAAGTACTTTTAAAAAGTTACTTCAAACACATCTTTAGAGGCCTATTTTTCCTATTAAATTTAGGGTGTTAATACTAACCGTTAAATTAATTTTAAAATAAAATTTAAACGATTTCAACCGCAAATAACAAAAATTATTTTATTTATTTTTGAGATTTAAATTATAAGTTACTTTATTATATAGATAATCACATTTTTACAACATGATTATTTTTTTATTTAAATAATTACTTTTAAAAAGGCAAAGACCAAGGGGTCGCAATCATAATAATACAAAGTCAAAGGTCAACATGCGTGACAAAGTAGTAGTGTTTTCAATTATAATAATGTTGTTAGAAGTTGCTATGAAATTTAATGGGTCACCACCCTGTCACAGTGTTAAAACCGTGTGTAGCTAGACTTCTTCTCCCTCATAAAATAGAAAAAGTTGACCACAAAATAGAAAAAGTTGACGCCAGCCATCCATGTTCACACCCTAAGGTCTTTACCTTGGAAAGTTCCTACATGATGTTTTTGAGCGGGACGATGACTTGGAACAGTGACAATTAGTCTGGTGAGAGTAAATCCTCGGAAGTTCACATCACCCGGTCGAGATAGGGCCCAAACGAGGGAACTCAGGTTTAATAAGGTTTGATTATGGTGATTCGATCTCACATCGATTAGTGAAGTGGATGTAAAATAGTATATAAGTGAATTTTGATTATTCATTGGACAACATGTTTTAAAATCGTGCGAGTCTAGGCCACAACGAATAATAATACTGTACAGTGCAAGTCCGGAGCGTTATAGTTTTCAATGTTAAATAACTTATTGTAACATTCATTATTTTTTGTCTTTATTAATAAAACCACGACTCTAAGTAAAAAATTATGATTAAGACGGCTTTTATTACTACTCAACCTCGGGATTTTTTGTTAAATAAACAAAAAAAAATCTGGTACGTCTATGGAAGACTGGTCGTTATGACTTTGCCAAACACGGTTTTCTCTATGGTCCTAACTGATACGAATCAACTTGTGGTCCATAACCATTAATTTGCTTTAAAAATTCTACAAGAGTAATCATAAACAATGACCATGTCAAGTCTTGAGACTTGGGCGAGTGATGAACTAGTCACATGTTTAAGGTTGGGCTTTACCTAAGATAATTTGTTACACACATAAGTTTACTAATTCGTTCTTTCTAGAATTCATGGTCATCCTTCTCCAATGGGACGGTAGGAAAAAAAAATCAATTGGAGGGTAATTTAAGTGGTAATTTAGACAAACTCTAAGTTCATACGTTTTGAATTTGAATCTTAATAATTTTTGAGATCAGATTACGAGAGATTTATCTTTTTTATGAATACCTTAGTTTTGGCGTGAATAACCAATCTTTGACCGGACTGAAAAAAAAATTAATCGAAGTGCATGTAAGTTGAATCGAACACCTTTGACCGTTAAACCAACAAAAAAGAAAGTGTGATACTGATCAAAGACTCTCTAATGTTCAAATCAGATTCTGTGGATAATTAGATTAAAACAATATGGATTCTTGAATGCTTCTTTATTTGCTAGGTTATGCAAAAGATTTGTATACCTTCATTTTGGAGAACGACTCCTTTTATGAGCCGAGATTCTCAATAATTGTTTAAAAAAAAAATTAGATTGTTCCTACAACGATTAGTATTGCACTTTAAAGTTCTAATTGTGGCATGTAAAAGCAATTGTTCCCTTGATTTCAAACATTTTTTCTTAAGGTCTGTACAAATTCTAATGTCGAATTGTTAATCATGCGAGAATGAACTTGGTCTTCGGTCTTGATCAATTTTCACATTTCATTAACCCCCGTCAACCGAACGTCCTTCATATGTTTGGATTCTCAAGTAAGGCCTTACCCAAAGTGTTGGACTCGTGCCTCTTGCTCTGGACTTTTTAGCCATTAAACTCCGATCTATAATCTATAATATAAAATATGACATATTTTAATAAATTCATTCGACAATTTCAAATAGATTTATCTAACGATTACTAACATTTCTTTCAAAATTATTCACATTATATCGTATTTTCAGATACGAATTATTCTAATTTATTCTTAAAAGAGAAACGAGAAAAAACAAAAGAAAGAAAATCACTATAATACTGGCAAGACTCGTTTTAAATTTAGTATGTATTTAGGGCATGTTTGTTTCGAGTATAAAATTTATGTGGTATAAGGTTTTATATTCATTCCACTTCAATTTAATAGTATATTATACGCAGTGTTAAACTATAATCTCATCATTCTCCTTGTTTGTTTATCACAAATATTATCTGTGTAATACCTACTTAAAAAAATCAACAATTGCAGCTAATCAATGTAAAATATAATTTTAACCTTTAAAAAGTCAAAAATTGCGGCTAGGCTTTTATATGAGCATTGTATAGGAGAGTATTTCAATTTTTTTAGTTTATAATACCTATACCAAGAATATAATACCACTCCTTAGGTGATATTCATTAAGAGCTTCTATAAGATACTATGGTTACTGTTCATAGCGGGTTGGTATTACGACCTCAAAAAATAATACTGACTATAAAATACCAAACAAACAACATATAAGATGAGTCTTACGTACTATTTTTCTAATATCACCTCCTTATACCACTCGAATCAACGTCCCTTATTGTTTTGTTGGCCCATTCCAAACGATATGTATCAAAAAGTCACTTTTCCCTAAGTCAATATTGAGGTGTGCATTAGAAGATGACTTCTGGGCCCCAAATAATAATTTAAACAGCGACTACACAAGATATATATCACCAATGAATCCCCTTTCGACGTAATCACGTAATCACGATGGTTCTTTGTATCTTCCTTTCTTTCTTTTTTTGGGTAAATTGTATTTTACCCAACTGTAGTTTAACCATTTTGCGCTTCACCCCCTTATAGTTTAAAAATCAGCATTTTCTTCTTTTACACTTCAATCACGGAATCACATCATAATTGCAACTGTTAGTTTTTCCATTCAAATTAACGGAAATTGTAGTACACGCACCAATATCAAACTTTGAAGTCAAAATTAAATTAAAATATCAAAAGACAACTGTAACCTTATAAAGTTTATCTAAACACAAAAATAAACATCTCCTTCAAACAGTCAACATCTTGTCCCTCTTGCTTGATTTGTTTTCAACTAAGACTTTTCGAAATGGAAATGGGGGCGGCAGCATGGAAGAAATGGTGATTATGTGATTCAGTGATTGTAGCGTAAAAGAAGAAAATGACAGGGAAGAGAAGATAAAGCTTGTTCAGATGACATAGAGGGGATAATGGTCTTTTCTCCATCGCCGTTGACAGTGTTAGTAGTGCAGTTTAGTCCAAAATCATACAGGGGTTATGTGCTGATTTTTGAACCACAGGAGGGTGAAGTGCAAAATGGCCAAACCACAACGGGGTAAGATGGATTTTACTCTTTTGCCTTTTCTGGCCAGTGGTCTTTGTATCTTCTCAAAGCTCTATAAAAGGTGGACATGGCTCTCAAAATCACACCATTCCCTCTCAAAACCAAACCTCTCAATAACTTCTTAGTTCTCTCTCTCTCTCTCTCTCTCTCTCTCTCTCTCTGTGTTGCTATAGGGTTTTGGTTCATCAAATCCAGGAAACTAAGAGGATGAAGGTATAATTCCACTGCTCTGAATACAACTATTTAAAAATTAACTAAAACCCAGAAATTTATTCTAATTATTATCTGGTTGGTTTGTTTTTCTGCAGCAAAAGGTGGTGATTAGCGTGTCAATGAATGGCCAGAAATCTCGTTCCAAGGCCATGAAGATCGCCGTTGGTGTCTCAGGTAAGAAATTTTTGTTGCTTCGAAAAGCTCTGCCTATACGAGCAGTTGGATCTTAGTCTTGGATTTGACTCGATTTTTATTTGTTTATTTTCGTTTGTTAGGTGCATACTTCTTTGTTTCTATTAGATTTTAGAGTTTTCTTATGAAAATGAGAAATTGAGATTAATTTTAGCTCAGAAGGTCGTAATCTTTTATCGAGTTAAGCTTGAGCAAGAAAATCAAGTCAATAATTGAGCTCGAGAAAGTTTCAAACTAAACCAATTTAAAATAAATTTGAGTTCAACTCGATTAATAGTTCCATCTTATATTTTGCAGGGGTAGAGTCTGCAGCCTTAAAGGGGCAGGAAAAGAACCAGATAGAGGTGGTCGGAGAAAGTATTGACGCGGTGGTGCTCACCTCGTTGCTGCGGAAGAACGTTGGCTCCGCGGACCTGGTTAGCGTTAGCGCGGTGGGTGGTGAACCAAATAAAGAGACCCCCGCGAAAAAGAACGAGGCCACGCCACAGCCTCCGGCTTGGTATTGGCAGTACCCTCCTGTGCCCCAGTACCAAATTTATCAGACTGACCCAACCTGCACCATTATGTGACTTCACAAGTTGGGTGTTGATCGGAAGTGGTTGTACGGAGAGGGAGTTTATCGATTCTCTGCTGCCATGCCGATGCCAGTGGCTGAGGCTCAGTACTGTTAGTTTTGGAAGTCCATAACTTGCTACTTAGCTCTACTCGGTGTTGTTGAAGTATGCAACTCTTAGCATTCGTTTTGGAATAATACTATAGCTGTAAAGATGTTCCAATATAAATAGAAAGAGAAAAGAGGTTTAATTTGGAAATCTCAATTCAGCATTGAATGAAGTTTTGTATTAATCCAAAGATCCGATCTTACAATTAAGATCTTCAATTAGGTTACAAGTAATGTTAATAATAAAACTAATGCTATAATGGTTTGCGGAAAGTTATTTGTACTCGACGTTTAACTAATAATCATAAATCTAAAAGTCGAATAGTTGAAATGAGTCCCCAATACAACCAAAGTTGGAATTGTTCTTGTAATATGAAAACCTGCACATGAACAGCAGAAGAAAAACAAAGTAGGCAGAGTTTCAATGCCATTTAAGGAGCTTGCTTGGCCATGGCTTGAATTACTGATTGGAAAGCCTTTGAGCTCATACTTGTAAACGGCAAGAGTGAAAATTCTTCAACATACCCACTAGCCACTTCCCCTGTCTCAGAGTTTAAAACTTCCCCAGCCATAAGTAGTCAAATAGAAAATGAAATGTGTCAAGTGATATAGTTTTGATCCTAAGAAGATAAACCATTATAATTATAACAACATACAGCATAATTCAATTCAAAATCACACCATTAAAAACAGAGCTTTTTACATTTTGTACTTTGAAAATTTTTAAAATTCTCACTTTGTATTTTAAAAATTAAATTTCTCATATAACACCTTCAATGTATCAAAATTATTGTAATGTGGTCTTTCTGTTAGCTTTTATTATTTTTTTCAGTAAAAGTCAATCTATTAACACTAACGGAAAACTAACAAAACAGATGCATTACCACACTTTTGAAATATTAAGAATGCAATGTGATAAATTTAATCTGATGGCAAAATGAGAATCATACAATCTTCTAGGGTGCAAAGTGCAATTCACCCTAAAAAAAGGAGAACGAAACTGTGAGGGTGGATTCGTTGCGCAAATAATACCACAAGATTCGTGAAAGATAGTAAAGAAAGTAAAATTATACTTTGACCCCTTAAATTGTATTTCCTTTCATAATTAGTTTCACACTGCCCAAGTGCTTAACATCTGTTATAAAGTTGACAAAAAGTTATCTCATGTTGTTCCTCGAACTATGTGATTTTATTTTACTTAATCTTGATACGTGAATATTTTTCATCCAAAAGATAACGAAAGTTAATGTAAAACCAATTCCAATAATTGAGGGTACAATACGGCAAATTCAAATAATGTGCCAAATTCAATTGTTTGAGAGGCAAAGTGAGATGGAGGTTATAGTTGAAGGGGTAAAAATATAATTTATCTAATGCTAAAATTATGGTGGATTAAAAATAAGACAAATAAATCAAAATAAAAATGCACCTGTGGCATTCTCCATCAGTCCAATATCTGGCATCTGGGTCTGCCTGTCTCCGCTGATGCCAACTATGAAGAGTGTCAAGAAACTGACAAGCTTTTCTTAGATGGCATCCAGGGAGCCAGGCAGAACAATCACTGACCATTTGTTCAACTCTGCTCTATCATCATGAATCTTCATTGATCTTCAGAAAAATTGCAAACTGCAATCAGTTACTGGTACAGTTAGTAATTGGGAAGATACAACTCTGAACTATGCCCTAGTTTACCCAGGTCAAGGTGACACCCGTTAGCGATTGAGGTGACGAAAAAGTAAAATGGTAAAAAGTTCATTTCACACCTTGAGTGGTTGCGGGTTTCAACTAAAGCTGATAATTCAGCCGAGCTATTCCGATTCGGCTCAATTATCGGCCCCAGTTTCAACTCATCTTCCTCCTTATTCCCTTTTTTCCAATAAAAAAAATAAACTCAAAAAAAGAAGACGACCACCCATTACTGGTTTCACCCTACTTGACAACAAGAATGCATTGGGTGGGTGGGTGGGTGGGCGGGCGGGGTAGGTAATGGCCTATGCATGGACCACTCCTGAACTTACGCTACTGTCTAAGCTTTTGGATTGCTCAGACATAAAGTTCAAAATTGAGGCCTGCTGGACCCATCACATTTGAAGAAAAGGATTATAAGGATAAATATTCTACATGTGTAGCTTATTAAACTGCCCACAAGTAGAGAAATGATTGCAAAAGCAATTCAAACTGGTGAATCCCACCTTGTTTGGATATAATTTTTTTTTCCAGTGAAGGAGAATTGTCTCAACGACCCGATTATACTCATGGGTGATACACAAATTAACTTCGAATGCATATAATCACCAACAACCCATGTATACTAAATAAACCCGGGTTTGAGACCCAAACACAAAACGTGCATGTTTTCACCTCGCACCTTTGTTGGACTACTTAACAAACCCGTGCAAGTTGGTTGGAAACAATTTGCAGACATTCTTACAAGTGATAATAAACACCAAAATGCCCAGAAGAATTTGGTTTAAGCTTTTAAGTAACAAAGCTCATCTTTTAACCAAGTTGAAAAAAACATTTATGCTTACTAAACATGCCATCAATAACCAAAGCTACATGAACTTACATCTGATTTTCGGGCTGCGTATATATCAAACTACTGGCCAAAAACTGGATGAAGTTGAGAAGCCAAGAGGATGAAATTGAATAGACCCACCTCTGTCTCTCTCTCTCTACCTACCCTGCTTAGTGCTCTCCCTATCACTATATACTTCAAGATCAGATGTGTGTGTGCAAGAAAAGTACATACTAAGATGGGTATTTAAAGAATTAGTGAAAAGGATAGAGACAACAGAAAATCCAAGCAGAAGTGTCGCAGAGAGGTCTTGAAGCAGGCGGCAGAAAACGCTTCACTGTGCATATATATTAGCGTTATTATTAGATAGCTCAGGGTTATAGAACCAACAGCAACTTTGTGTTGCTTTTTGTGGATTTAATAAGTTTGGCATTTTCTCTGAATGGATTTTTGGGGTCCTATTCGCGGTTTATTGGTTATTTGACCATTTTCAGACGAGGCCAAGGCCATGGCATGAGACAAGTACAGCCTCGATAGGTGTTTGTTTGAAGGATTTTCTTCCAGCCGATTAGGCAATAATAAATTTATTATTTTTTGTGTTGAGTTTATAGATGTCCCATTGGAATCATTAAATACTAACGGCAGACCCGTGTACACACGAGATATCAAAACTGATATCCCATTTTGTCTCATCATCTCTCTTTTTCCTACTCATTTAAGTGTTGCCGATTAGTGTCAGAGAAAGAACAGAAGAGGCAGATATTAGAATTTAAAAGGGAGTGGAAAGTTAAGTTGAAAGGGTTTAACAAATTGCAAGAGTGGTTATATGAGCTACGTGTAAAAAATTGGTTGGAGAAAACTTCATTTATTAATTTGCTAGTCAAAGAAAGGTAAAACGATGATGAAAGATTTCCCAAGTTTTCTTTTTCTATCCCTACAATTTGATAGTTGTAGAAATATACTAGTTGACGGATATGTACATTGCATGAGATTACATCCTCCTCCTATCTTAGAGACCTTATCCTGTGCCCGTTCTCGCAACAAATCTGTTTACTTTCTATGGTAGTTTTAGAGAGAGAATGGAATATGAATATGCAAAGCGAAGAAAAAGGGCGTGAAGTTGAAGGAGTGGAAAGTTCGGGAAGTGGTTATATTGAAATGTGGAAGAATTTGAGAGAAAAGTGTATTTTTCAATTTAATAAATTAGAATAAGACAATTAAGCATTGTACATGGAAGCCTTCCTTTGGATAATTAAATGTCTACAAACATATTTTATGTACGATAAATTATACTCAAATCTTTTGAATTTTATCACTAAGTTCATATTCTCCCTAAACTATTCACTTTCCCATATTTCATCTTAAACTATTAGTTTGATTGTCACATTCCTGCACTTAGTTGACTTCTGTCCAATTTTTTTACACAAATTTAGGGCAAAAAAAGGAACACACAACCGAGGAGGATAAGACCACATTTTCTCGTGAGATCCTAATGTTGTGTTGATCTGCCATGAAAAAACCGAACAAAAGTAAATTGGCAAAGTTCAAGGGGTTTGAGTGTATATATATATGGATTTTGCTTCGGGCTGGTCAAGTTTGCAATGACTATTCTCTTGAACTCTAAACTGATAATCGATTATAACTCGAATTAGTTTAATGACATGTCACCTGAAAAATAATAATAATCGACTCTTAAGAAATGTGAAAAATATTAAACCCGATAACTTTCAAATATTCATATTGACGCAGACGAAGATGTAGATGTTAAAGTTGGCTCGGCAGATATGGGATTTGACAGACTGTGAGGTGGGGGCCATTGCAGGCTGGGAATGGCCCACTTGTAGCTGTTTTAGTGAAGGGGATGTAGATGGAGAAAATGGAACTAATTATCTTGAAGCCAATTGTATTATATTGGTCGGTTTGCACTGTGAAGTGTGAGGATTGGGTTGATGCAGTAAAGTTGTATGGCTCATTGGACATCTTTTTATGTATACAACGAACCTATGGGACAAATGCCACATTCTAACTTTGGCATAGTGGAGATTCTATTATTGGTTTTTTGTCTTTACTTTCTTGTTTTTTTGGGTCAGAAGTTGCATTACAACCCAACTTCAGAAGCGTAAAAAACCTTTAAAGATAGGATAAATAACACACACACATATATAAATAAGCCCAACGGCCCATTGGGTCATGGATCGGTCAGTGTGCAAGACATTAGCCCCGTAAGTCAGTCCACAAGATGGGATGGCCCGTTCTAAGGGCCCCCCCCTGACGGTTTTCTGCCCCATCATGTGAAAATTTTAAGATTAATACTACAACAAAAAGCAAGTTGTATGGCTCGATTAAACCTACCCCCCTTCTGGGTATGGGCCAGATCAACCCAACCCATGGCACGGCATGAGGCTTTTGACTAGTGAACCATACTGCTCAGCCCGGCCCGATACCATCGACTCCAGTCATTGTACTTGCCCATCATCGCCTGTCACCCCGATCCAACATTCAACTTGGAAGAGAATGTTTTGGAATTCTTGCCGGGTGAAACCATGCGCAGATGCACTATCAACCACATAACAGAGCTTGAACAAGATTTTTTTTTTATTTGACATCTCTTCATCTTTAAATAGTTTCTAATGTGAAAATACAAAAACAAAAGGCAGATCTTTAAAAAGTAAAAAGAGTGAATTTAAAAATCCATGTGGAGACAACCTTCCAAGTCGAAATCGATCAAAATTAATGTTTATTTTCTATATTTGCTCATATATTTATCGAATTATCAAACTTTTTATTGTATTCTACCTATTCAAATAGGAGGAACTGTCATGTCATTTTAAAGTTACAAAATCACTATATTATTTCGTAAAAAACTCATAAATTTATTTACCTTACCCAAAAAAAAAACAACCAGAGAGAATCATGATACATAGCAATGGGACCAAGCTGAAGTGGGTATATCCATTACCATCAGGGTTGACATTCTTTATATTCACCTTTTGGTTAAAGGGGTTGTGAGTGTCTGGTCCATACCATAGAGCTTGCTTTGTTGATGAAGCAATGTAGCGGACCACACTGCTATCGTGATCCTAATCCTTTATGGTTAAAGGGGTTGTCAGCCATACGATCAATTCCAAAGATTCTTTCTCCCCACACACACACACACACACTCTTTCTCACTCTCATGGATAGAAGTTTTCCCAGGAAACCAGCTCTTTGGGTTTGTTTGGTTCTTTGGTTTGGCCCGATTGGATTGGTTTTGATTGATCAATTCAATTCCTAATGATGTTCTGATAATGTTTGACAAATATTTGTCCAATTTTATTTTCGAAACATTAGTGAAAAAATTGTATCTAACATTGCTCCTAATGTAGTTTTTTTAATGATTTTAAAAAAAAATTAAAAAAATAATAATAATGATTTGAAATGAAGTGTGTCCAACATTAATAATATAGGGTGTTTTTTTTTTTTTTTTTATGAATTTGCATTTTGTGTTTTATTTTTAAGCCTATTTAACAATCACCCTAATATTGGTTTTATTGAGGGGATAAATATTTGATAAACAAACAAACAAACAAAAAAATCAAGGGAATAGGTATAAAATTCTCTTATCCGACTAAGAAAAGTGGTATCGAAGTGTGGGCCCCGGATAGACTATGGCCAAGCCCATCCATTATGGTCACATTTAGAGAGAGTTATTGTTTACCGGTTGTTCCGGACCATCTTTTCATAACGATCATTCAACAATGAATACAAACTAAAAATTAAGGTCAAAAAAAATATAAATATCTACCAGCTGCATATGTTGATTTTTTGTCAGTTACGTTTTAATCTTTGACAAAAACAACAACGTGGTACTTAATCAATCGAAAACTTGATTATGCAAGATTGAAGATTCTATTCATGTGGAGATCAAGTGGTACCCATTAATGCCCATTCATTTGGAATTTCTCTTGGTGGGAAGCTGTGATCCTTATGGAATACTTTTGTCATCTGTCAGAATTTTCAGACAATTATTGGTCAGAGGTCATCCAAACACATCTCCGGTGATTTAAAAAAAAAACTTCATTTAAAATGGAGGGATAAATAATTTATGAGATGATTCAAAATTATTGATTTGGATTCTTTCTAGAATCATATTCTTTCGATTGTATCTATCATCGTGAATTTAAATAGAACTCATTAGACTCAAGTGGATCTCGTATCTGTAAATATTATCGTGTGATCGAATATTATTTAAATATAGATAAGTAATTATATCGAGGTGAAAATGACAGATCTAGGTGTTTTTGGATATATGTGTGCTTCTGAATGTATATGTACAAATCAACGATAAGAAAAATAATAATATAGGTACGAGAAAATCTGTTACAAACAATCAAAGCAGATGAGAGTTCGGTGGTATTATCCACACCCGAGGGGTTTTAGGTGTTATTTGGACAAATTTCATGGGAAGTGAATATAACTAACCCTATAATATAATTTGGGGAAGCTTTATGTGGCCAATGGACTGTGTGACCCTTATTTTAAGTGAATGAGTACCAACTCTTCAAGTGAATCCATGAGGTGATCTTCTTCTCAACCTTGGATGAGTAAGTCCCCAGATAGAAACAAATAGAGTTGGGCGGTGTAGGTAGTGAGTGTTAAAAACTGTTACCACATAGGTAATTATATTTACGGGTCACACTGGAGCTCTAAGGAGAATGTGGTTTGATGGACCAAGAGAGAGTTTTAGCTTAGAGAAAACGTCATGTAATCCCCACCACGATATCATGCTAAGTGCACGCTTGGGACCATTATGAGAGTCCAATCATGTCTGAGACCCATGGACTCTTTCTTTAAGTTAAATTATACTTATAAAACAAAAAAATAAAACAGCAACATACGTATCGCTCTATGTGAAAATGATATAACAGACATTTTGTCATTAATATATTGGCAAATGCATAAGCCACACCTGTGACCTACTATGATTCCATCCTCACAAGGGGGTGGGTATCTTAGGTTGATCATTTTGGGGTTTCTTTTCTTCTTTCTGAGAAATTTCGTTCGCTTGTCTTAAATTTGAAAATCTCTCCTTCCTACTTTCTCTTTCTTATGCTTCTCCTCCCTCCTTCACATTCTCTGGGTCCCTCAAATGGTGACTTGCATGAAAGTGTGTACATCTCCCCACCTATGGGTGGTCCTCTAGGCTGATATAATCTCCAAGTGACTTTTCTTAATTCTATATACTAATTAAAATTAAGATTCATTAAATTATTGTTACTATGATTTAAAAAATTAACATAATTTGTTGATACAATGATGTGTCAAGTAATAGAATTCCAATAAAAAAATTCAATAGTTACACCATAATAATACGATTGGACTATGTTACTCTTTTTTTTTATGAGGCGTACAGACTTATACTGACTATTCTCTCGAGCTCTAAGCAGCTCACTATAACTCGATCTAATTTAAGGACATATTTACTGAGGAATAAGAGTGATTGACCCTTATGGGATGTGAGAAATATCAAAACTGGAATCTTCTCTTGTTTAAAAAGATGACAGACTTGACCACTGAACTAGCCCAAAAAATTTGTACCTTATTACTACCGCATCGTTAGATTAGTAAATTAAATCAATTTTATAAGTGCCAATAATATATATATTTTTTTAATTTTAATAAATGAATCTTTTCTTCTTTTGATTTCATAACTAATAGATTAAAAAAATAAAAATATAATTTCAGCCACATCAATCACGTAAGGCAACGAGGCTGGCATATCATTAATAGTTTTGACAGCAAGATTACCCGCCACAATGTTCTCTGTACACAATTGAAAACTATTCAGTTGGTCAACTAGATCTATTAATTTCATCCTTAGTAACGTGATTGAAGCATTTGACTTCCAGGATCGTCTCCATTTTCCAGTTTGAAAAGTGTGCATGTTGAAGCCAAAATGCTTGAACCAATCCTCATTCTGGTGGCCATGGTCCTATTCAAATCTTTCAATCAAGCACATGACAACAACAACCGTAATGGTAATACCCGGTGTCTAAAAGCACCGTAAATATTTACGCTACTCATGAGGCATGACACATCTAAGTCACAATTAAAGGGTTATTGTTTGTTATAGTGTAATAACAATGTCGAACCAATTACAAAGAGATTTCAAGTTCAAAAAATCTGAGTGCAATCACTTTTTGTGCGGGTATCTTAAATACATGTCAATCACTTATTCACTATTTCAATACCCAGATGAATGGAATCTTCTAACATTGAGTTAAATTGGATAATGACTCTTTACTTAATTTGTTTGACTGATGATGCTTTTTTGATAGCTTCTTAATTTGAACAATGAGTGGAACTTCTTGCATGATGTGTAAACTTACGCAATGGGGGCATGCTTTTTTGTTTTTTTTTTTTTGTGAACAGTTGGGGTGTGTGTGTGTTTGGGGGGGGGGGGGGGGGGGCGTTCTTCAAGGTGGCTTATTTTCCACTCATTTTGTTGGACCATTGCTTCTGGCTTTATATTTTTCTACCTCTTCCTTGTGTTTGTTAAAATACCTGAATTAGATTAGGAAACACTTCTAGGGATCCATATGTTTTGCAGATTCAGTTGATTAGAAAAATTATTTTTGTGGGTTGAATGGCTACCCCATAGTGTATCCAGGTTGTATTTTCATTTTCATTTTTTCTTTTAAGTCATACAACAAGACAATTCACACAACTTTCTAACCCATTGAAAGTTGCAACAACATGGCAAAGAGAGCTCTTTAAATAGAAACTTGGCACAAGGTGGGAGTCCTCATAATAATTTTTCTTCTGTGGAAGGAGACAAGGAAGTGAAGCAGAGGAGCATTACCAAAGGAGGAGCAATGAGGGCAAGTCCTATCCTTTACCTCCTATCACTTCTTCTTTTATCACTACTTCACAGACCCACCTTTGCCCACAAAAAGGTAAACACTTGAGTCCTTTCTTTTATTAACGACTAAATATAGTATTGTGATAGTGTTGGTCAATGTTTAATAACACAATAGGATTTTCTTCTCCTGTGTGGCTGCAGTCATACGTGGTGTACTTGGGAGCCCATTCACATGGCCAAGAAGTCTCATCCATTGATTTGAATCAAGTAACAGACTCTCATTACGAGTTACTGGGATCTTTTTTGGGGAGGTAATTGACATTTTTGTACAGGAATAAACTTACATTTCTCAATATGTTCATTTTCTGAATAAAAATCTTATCTTCTTCACAACAGTTGTGATAAGGCCAAAGATGCCGTATTTTACTCCTACACACGACACATCAATGGTTTTGCTGCAATACTGGATGATGAAGAAGCAGCCCAGATAGCTAGTAAGCAGTTTTTACAACTGTGAATATTCTATAGTTTTCTTATCTTGTGCTTGTATGGTCATAATCATGGTAATGTAACTTAATACAGAACATCCCAAAGTAGTCTCAGTATTCTTGAACAAGGGAAGACAGTTACACACAACCAGGTCATGGGACTTCCTGGGCCTTGAGGATGATGGCGTAATTCATCCCAGCTCTGCTTGGAAGAAAGCAAGATTTGGTGAAGACACCATCATAGGCAACCTGGACACTGGTAAGTTTTCTGCCTTCCTCTTCATTTGAGTATCAGTTTCATTTCTTAAAATACTGATATGGGTATGCACAAAATTTGAAGCCTTCCTTTAGTTTTTTAATAACAAAAACTTTGGTTTTTGTAATTGTTATTTGGATCATTGACCTAGTGATGTAAGACAAACTGCTTTTATGCTTACCATAAATATAATAATGATATTAATGAAAATAAGTGTTTAGAATAATCGGTAACGTTCCGTTTCAAATTTTCTGGATCTTATTGGGGCGGTTGCTTGACCATCCTACTCTCATGTGACAGAAGTTCATTAATTAATGTGGTCCTGCTCATTAACCCATAATTGACCATTAGCAAAGGTGTTTTAGTGGATCTATGCACTTGACTGATTTTAAATGTGAAGAAATTCAATATCTTTTCCTCTGCAACAGGTTTAACAATGGCTAGATTGATGCAGTTGAGATTAGTCTTTTAGCAATGTGGCATTGAAATTCTCTCCCCATAACACAACTTATATAGTCACCTATCTTGTGTGTGTCTTGTGGGATTATAACGGCGTGCATGTTCAGAAAAAAATGATCAATTGGTGCTGTAACTATTTTATATATAATGGTCAAGTGTGGCTGTGTTGAAGTAGATTTTGAGTTTATAAATCTAATGATGCTGGTCCTAGACAACTAGGATAGAGTATGATAGATATATTCATGATTGTTTCTCTTCTTTTACCATTATGTTTGAGTTTCTTCATCCCAACCCTTTTGTTTAATGCCATCGATCTAGGTGTCTGGCCTGAATCGAAGAGCTTTAGCGATGAAGGGATGGGACCAAAGCCATCAAAGTGGAAAGGAATATGTCAAACTGATGAAGACGCTAGTTTTCATTGCAACAGGTCTAATTCCTCCTACAATGCTATTGTTAGTTACATGGCTCAACATGAGGATTTTTAAGGCTAATGGTATTAGAAATTACTTTTTGTTTATAAACAGGACTGCACATGTTGAGAAAACTTGACAAATTTCTCCAAACAAGAACTCTATATATAGTAGCTTTAGTGCTCCCCTAACATTTCTGTTTTCTAAGTAGTATCTCTTGATTTATTTTGTTGTGAATAATTGGTTGAGACTACGGCGCATAGGGCAATAGACTGCAATAATACAAGGACTGGTGGTGCTGACATCCCAAGGGATACATGGTGTGGTGTTTGGATCAAAGGATTGAGGGGGATTGAATTATAATTGTGAATGGGTCCACTTACCCCTGATTTGGGTAATTTTTTGGCATGGGATTGAATTGAGTTTTGAATTCCTCGGGCCGTAAGTTTTGAAGCATTCAATCACCTCTACAGGCTATTGAACAATCCCTTCTGCTGTGTGGGATAAAAAATTGTGAAGTGGGATTACATATAAAAAGTCAAAAATACCCTCCACAGTAAATCCTTACCTCTGTGTATCGATCTGTCTGTATCTTCTTCTCCGTTCTTCATTTGGTTGATCTTTGAAGCTTCATATGGGCTCTGATTTTTTCATGAAAGTATCAGATCTGTGCAGATCTGGGTAAATTTTTGGTTTGCAACCTCTATTTGTTTGGGAAGAAGATAGAGATGATCTGCACGTAACCCATCTCGATTTGTTTGGGAAGATAGAGATGAAAAAAGATAAATTTTTTCGAAAGCTTTTTCTCTCTCTGTCTCACTCTTTCTCTTTGTTTGTGGCTTTTGTTTTTTTGGTCAAGCTCTCTGTTTGTGACTAAAACCGAAGCATAGAGAGAAGATGAGCAATTAACCACATTAAAATCCACTTTTTACCCCCTTAATTCGATTTTTTTGCACTTTATCCCTTATGTTCATAAATTAGCAAATAACTCTCAGGTTTTTTGCACTTTATATCCTAATGTTATGTTCATCCATTTGTTTCCTTATAGAAGAACTCTAAAAAAATTAACATTTTAATTAAAACAACATATTTTAAATTGATCTGATCTGTGCTATTAATTCAAGCAATAATATTAAAATGCCCTAAAATTCATGAAAAATAAATTGGATTTGGGTCATTGAAAATTTTGCTAGTTATTGAAAAAAAACAATTTGTGATTAAAAGTGAATTGTACAAATTAAATTAAATAAATGAACAAAATATTTATTGCAATCTTTTGTAAAAATGTGTAAGATATTGATTCATATTTTTTTTTCCGTAAATAAGACAATACTAATGGATTTGACTTTTTTTTCATTCCATAACAAACATAGTATAGGATTGGATAATATTTTTTTACACAATGGTGAAATGGTCATTTTAATATGTTATACCATCAATTGTAAATGAGGTCCACAAACCAAATGAAACCTATCCAAAGATGGAATAGAATTTGAATCATATCCTTATGATCCTTTAATCCGAACCGCTTTACATTGGGTAGGATTGGGTTCGGATTCAAATCCAATCCAATCCTCTCATGGTGATCCAAACACCACCGTGTGATTTATTGTTTGGCCCAGTATAACTCAATTTTGTTGGGTATATACTACAACTTCATCTTTACGGAATTTGAGTGGAAATTTTTCCAATTGTGTAAAGTGGTACTTAGGAACACTTTTTCAAGGCTGAGACATAATTGTTATGGTGAACAATCTTTCTGAGAACATAGGATGTTCTCACCACACTTCCACCACCACCCTCCCACCAACACCAACACCACCACACATTGTTTTCTGGGTTACACTTCCACCACCACCATATTTTTGTTTTTACTATTTTCTGAGTTACATTTTTACCACCTCTACATTTCTGTTTTCATTGGTTTCTAAGTTACTGTTCAAATAAATTTTAATATTTTATATTCCGTATAACTGTTTTTAGAATCATATAACTAAACAAGTTTTGCGACACAAAAACACACCAAAAATAATTTTCTAACACTCTTCCTAAAAAAAGTTTGCAAATACTGTTTTTCAAAACGCAAATCAAACAGGGCAAATGTATAGGCAAATGGGCATGTACTTAGATTGATATGTTTAATTCGATACTCACCAAAAAACAGAAAAAGAAAAATAGGTTCAATATAATGTATAGGCAAATGGGCCTCAGTGGTGCCTGCTTTCAGATTGTTCTCTTCTCCGGAAAAGATGTTTGTTATGAGTGAAACTTATAGAGACATAGAAAATGTTTGTTATTGAGTCAAACATGTGAACAATGGCAGAGTTTGGAGCACGAGTATGTTCTCAAGGATCTTGATATTGTATTGAGCCAGTTACAAATTACTGTAGGCTCCCTCTTTTTACATCCTTCTATTATTTACCATCAATACAGGAAGCTGATTGGAGCAAGATACTTCAACAAAGGGTATGCTTCTGTAGTTGGGCCTCTCAATTCTTCGTTTGACTCACCACGCGACACAGAAGGCCATGGATCACACACCTTGTCAACTGCGGGAGGAAATTTTGTGCCTGGGGCAAATGTATTTGGGTTTGGCAATGGGACAGCAAAAGGCGGATCACCAAAAGCCCGGGTGGCTACTTACAAGGTTTGCTGGCCTCCAGTGGGTGGCAACGAGTGCTTTGATGCAGATATATTAGCAGCCTTCGACATGGCCATTCACGATGGCGTTGATGTGCTGTCTGTGTCACTTGGGGGGAACCCTGCCCCTTTTTTCAATGACAGTGTTGCCATTGGATCCTTTCATGCTGTCAAGCATGGCATTGCTGTGATTTGCTCAGCCGGAAACTCTGGACCTGATGATGGTACTGTTTCCAACATAGCACCATGGCAGATCACGGTTGGAGCCAGCACCATGGATCGCCAGTTTCCTAGTTACGTAGTCCTTGGCAACAAGATGAGCTTGAAGGTTACTTCCCACATCCAGGTTCTCTTGTTTCTAACTTATTTTTGGAACATCATCATATGAACTTGAAACACAATACTAGCAGGCACTAAAAGTGAATTTCCAAAACTTTTAAAGCATGAATAGCCATCTAGGGTACTTGTTACATTAATCACCAACAAAGAGCTTGTTTTGTGCAGGGAGAAAGCCTTTCACCAAAAGCCTTACCGAACAAAAAGTTCTTTCCAATTGTTAGCGCTGCAGATACCAAGGCTGCTAATGCATCAGCTGGAGACGCGTAAGGATATAACATTCAAGCTATTGGTATTCTGATTTTTCATACTTACATTTATAAAGCTCATGTGCATGTAGTGTATGATGAGCTTTTGTTTCAATCATAGTTCATAATTCATGGAATACTTAGCAATACCACCTGCTGTTTTGTATGATTTTTGCAGTCTGCTTTGCAAGGCTGGAACATTGGATCTGAGAAAGGTGAAGGGGAAAATATTGGTGTGCCTTCGAGGGGACAATGCAAGGGTTGACAAGGGTAGGCAAGCTGCTTTGGCTGGTGCTGTGGGAATGGTTCTTGCCAATGACGAGGCTTCTGGGAATGAAATTCTTGCTGATCCTCATGTCCTCCCTGCTTCACATATCAATTACACTGACGGTGTTGCTGTGTTCAGTTACATCAATTCAACGCGGTAAGATGATTTGCCAGTACTAATATCTTATGAACCAGAACCTTGTGGTATATCATCTTCAACGCCCATTTCCCATAACTTACATGGACTCCAATAATGCCTTACTCCAGATCATTTCCATCTAATGGATATGTATACCATCTAGTACTCAGAAAGAATGGTATGCTTTTGGATCTAGACAGTTGAAGTTCTCGCTATCTCCTAACTCTTTTATCAACCAGCCCACAGTGAGATCAATGAAGATGAACGAGGGACCCTAAATTTGTATCTGTTTGTATATGACAACTACCTTATTTTAACAGGTCCCCAATGGCTTCTATTACATTTCCAACCACTCAATTGGGCACAAAACCAGCTCCATTCATGGCAGCTTTTTCATCAAAGGGACCCAATACCATTACTCCAGAGATACTCAAGGTTTTGCTAGCATTTTGATCTTTTTCCCAGTTCATGTATGATTAACAGAGTTTACTAATTGTCCTTGTTGCAGTACTAATTGTCACTTTATATTCAGCCTGATATTACTGCACCAGGAGTCAGCGTCATAGCTGCCTACACGGAAGCACAAGGACCAACAAATGAAGATTTTGATACGCGTCGAGTTCTATTCAATTCAGTATCAGGCACCTCCATGTCATGCCCTCATATTTCTGGTGTCGTCGGCCTACTGAAAACCCTCCATCCTACCTGGAGTCCAGCAGCAATAAGATCGGCAATCATGACCACGGGTGAGAAGAACACACACCTTGCACATTATTTGACTGTATTCTTTCCTTTTTTGCAAGCCATGAATTTTTTTTGAGAAGATGGAGTAAAGAATACCATGCCAAATCTTATGACAACCTCAAGCAGCTGAACTGTTCACAGGACTGTCCTAGAACTTCTCTTTGATCTTTTACTTTCATTCTATATCACAGCAAGAACACAAGATAACATGATGGAGCCAATCACCAATGCATCCCACTTTAAAGCAACACCATTCAGTTACGGAGCAGGGCATGTGGAACCAAACCGGGCTATGGATCCAGGGTTGGTTTATGATTTGGCTACCAATGACTACCTGAACTTTCTATGTGCCCTTGGATACAGTCAAACTCAGATTGAATTGTTTTCTGAGGGTCCTTATAAATGCCCCAAACCCCTTGTTCTAACAGACTTCAACTATCCCTCAATCACAGTCCCTAAGCTTACTGGTTCAATCACTGTGATTCGAACTGTTAAGAATGTTGGTTCTCCGGGTACATACACAGCACGTATCCTTGAACCGACTGGAACATCTGTTTCAGTCGAGCCAAAGATGCTGAAGTTCAAAAGGATTGGGGAAGAGAAAACCTTCAAGCTTACTATAAAGGTGAGAAGATCCAGTGCAGGTAGAGACTATGTATTTGGAAAGTTGATATGGTCAGATGGTAAGCACTTTGTGAGGAGTCCTATTGTGGTGAAGGAAATCTAGAGACTGATATGTTGATTAATTTCACAAATTAAATCAACCATTTGATTTCTACTCTTCCATTGAAACAGCTTCTATGATTAATTCTAGGCTTTTTTTCATCTCTCTTTATGTTTCTTGATCTTGATTCACTGTATTGCTGGAAAAACAGTGAATAGAATTAGATGCCAATCATGTGTGGTATTGACACTGGCGCCACCTTGTACAAGGAGCTTCTATTCCAGGTTCTTGTTCCCTGTTAATCTGAACATCACCTATCTCCCTCCTTTCACTGTTCAGATTAGATTTAAACAATTGCACACTTTTGCCAGCATAAACATTTGCGCACCTATCTCCCTCCCTTTCACAATTCTTAGTAATCTTGATCGTTTATGGCGAACTTTTGCCAGCATAAACTTTTGAGCCGAAACATGAAATCTTGTATACCAAGCAATCTCATGTACCATGTGTTTTGCTGTTTTTTTGCCATCTTGTGCGTAATACCGACTATAATTCATGTTCTTGTTACACACATGTTAGAGCACTTGAGTTCAATATTGTCATTGGCTATGTCTATGCACTCAAAATAAGAGAAATTTTCGTTATGATTATGTACGAGGAAAAGGATAATTACATAAACAACTCTTCAAAAGTTTTAGAGAATGCAACAAATTGAAGATCTTTCTCATCAATGAATCTTGGGGGACACATAGGATTTGATTATGAACTCGTACTGTAACAACTTCTTTAAGCATATCATTTTCTGCCTCGTATAAAGCCTAAAGCACACCGAGAATTACAAGCTCAGGTAGAACAATGGCTCACATTTAGTACCAAACCTTGCTGAAATTCTACATAGGGATAAGCAATGGGTTGATCGCCATCTTCTGTTCTCCATCTATAAATGAATCAATAAAAGATCCAAGATTTAGCGTAGAGTGCAAATCCTAATCAGAAAACTGGATGAATGTTGCATTTGAGAGTAACAATAAGATCAAAACACGCGTACACTAACAAAAAGAATCGATGAAAAGATGAGAGATTACCTATAACTTTGCACAAGGTGGTGGAGGAAAAATGCAACCTCTACCTTAGCAAGTTCAGATCCTGGGCAACATCTTGATCCTCCCCCAAAGGGTGTAAATTTCTTGCATGTTTGATCTTGCATCTGAATTTTATAAATCAAAATCAGTTTCCCATTAGCATCTTCTCACCATGAATTCAGTTGAGTAGTTGGAGTGACCTAATTTATCTTCAAAAACGTGTAGGGCCGGATTTAGCCCGAGTTGTACCAATTGTACCTCCATACAGATTCAAACATGGGGCAAAACTATCCAAAAAGAAACTAACTATGCATCCTTTTTCTTTTTTTAGTTCAAGGTATGTGTATGCAATTAATATGCTTATTGGAATGCATCATAAGGGGTACTAAGAACTTTTTTATTTTTCAGCGGGGCGTGAGAACAGTATTAGTAGGAATTGAATAACAAGTAACAACTAAACGCGACATAATCAGGGCTAAGGTAATCTTAATGACATTATTATGTTTGGAAAATGGCACACAGAAAGATGAATTGTACGAGAATGTGGAGGGTCAATGGCAGGCCAGGCCAACTAGATTTTGTAGAGTGATATAATTACCTCCCATCTCCAAGGATGAAACTGGAAAGCACTTGGATGGAGAGTAGGGTCTAAATGAACTGCACTAAAAACTGGTAGGACCTTCCAACCAGATGGAATTACATAATCTGCAGAAAATATATGTAGAAATTTGAATTTTGAGTACAGCTATAATAAAAGTTCATTATATAAAATAGCTCAGGTGTTCATGATTATGGAAGAATCATATTCAGTATTGTTTACAGGTTTTGGACCATCGGGTGTCGATTTATATATACCTTTGAATTTGATATCTTTGAGAGCTTTTCGGTGCACAAACTTGACTATGTTCCCGTATCTAAGAGCTTCATTAATTACCTAAAATCAATGTAAAAGTATATGCATAAAAAAAACAAATTAAATCATCATTGAGAGCAATATTTGACTAAATTCGTGGTTTGGAGATGAGTACGTGTATCTAAAAATTGCATTGCAACCACAAATTGAACTTAATAAGATAACGTGGTGAGAACGATTCTTGGTTATGCATAATGCAAAAGTGAATTTAATTAACAATCCTAGGACAAAAAATAAGATAGGATAAAGTAAAAGATGAAACTCTTACATTGTGAGTGAAATCCATTTTCTTGTAATCTTCCAAGTTCAAAAACTCATCTTTATTCTTCATGCTTCTTATGTTCTGATGCTCTAACTGCATTAACTATGAAAGTTAGTAACCAAAAAGAGATCTTTTCTTTTTCTTTTTTCTTTTTGGGGAAGAAGGATGGGGGGTGTTGGAACATATACAAAGGAGGGTATAATATATTTCATAAAAATAATAACTGAGTTCATATTCCAAGGTCAAACTGCCATACTCAGTGTGAGACTCAGATAATGTCACCTTTAATTGTTCAAGTGCAGTGGTTGATTGACCAAGGAAATGGACCACCATGGACATTAAGAGAGAGGTAGTTTCATAGCCACCCAGCAGAGAATCCAGTACAAAACTAACTTTTTCATCTTCAGATAAGGTATCAACACATAGGAGTATCTCAAGAAAATCACTCCTTTTATTAGAATTTCCTGTATTCTTTCTTCTCTCCTCTATAATTGCCTTGACAGTAGAAGATATTCTTCTTCTAGCCTGTAAAGATGTCATGAAAAAAGTTCATCCACATGCCTCCTTTTCAAAACACAAAAAAGAAAAGCTATCTCAAACTATTCTGTTTTCATTTTCAGTAATTTTTTCAACAGACATTGAAACCAAACAGGATTTCTATTATTAGTTTAGACCCAAAAAAAAGTTTCTGTTTTTATTTTTTTGAAAACCGAAAATGTTACCAATCGCTACTCAACTCGTTAACTTTTATTAGTTGCTGACTTCATATTGGAGAGGTGAAGCACCTGAACAGCTCTTGCATATGGAGTCCCAGGAATATAGAGTGGGAAAGAAATCAGTCCTCTCATGAAAGTGAGGAAATCTTCTAGGATCTTGGTAGTCTGTGGCTCATCTGGTGTTAAACCAAGCACCTGCTTTACTATTACATTGAATGTAAACTGTCACAGAAACAATGAGAAAAGAAAATTCATGTCAGACACTTTGGAATTGTGGATGCTTTGATGATCATTTTTATCACTGGACTACTTGTGTTGGTTAGTAAGATGATGTTATTATTTTTGTGGTTTTGGTTGAATTTCTTCCACAAAAATGATACCTTTCTTGCTTCTTCACAGAAGATGACTTGCTGTTTATCTCTCCATGAATCAAGTATCTGAATTGCTATTCTCTCTATGTCATTGAGAAACTCAGGTTTTGATTTGGTGGTGCTGACCATTGAGAGGGCCACATTCCTCAGCCTCCTGTGCGTGTCACCCACTGCCACCAGCATTGAAAGCTGCCCAAGAATACCATGGATGGGCTTTGGGTAGCTGCACTGGAACAACTTGTCTTCATTTTGTAGTATGAAGTAGTTCAGTTCTTGATCACATGACACGACCGTGGGAGAGCAGAATAGGTGAGATTTAAACACTTTTCCATATCTGAAATCCCCAAAACTCCCATTTTTAGATCACCATTTCTATTCAAGAAATACATATACATGTGTACACACACACACATATAATTCAACTTCATTCATCTGTTAAACCCCATAAAATATAGAATGGTACTTACCTAGAGCAATGGTCTTGAAGAAAAGCCCCAAGGGAGTTAGAAGGGTGAGGCTTCAAAAAAGAAAGGGTTTCACCAAGTAGAGGCCACCCAAAAGACCCTTTGGGGAGAGGACCAAGCTTGAAGAACAAAGGCAAGAAATGGTTTAAGATGAGACCCAAGAGAAATCCAACAAAACCAACCAAAATGGCCATAAAAAAACCCATGTTTAGGTTTGTTCGGTGTCCTCGAATTGTCTCGTGAGGATATTCTGAAAGGAACACCTGGAGTTAGAACTGCCTTTTATGGGCACCACACTCTAGCTAGCATCCAACACCTATCTATATTATATAGAGAGAGATGAGAGAGCAAAATGTGTTTATTAACACAAGGAGGAAAGTAAACAGGCTTTTCTTCAGATTGTTACATGGGTGCATAGGAAATGAAAATCAGCCTAGCCTGGGATATAGGCCTCTACCAATAGGTAGTAGGGGTAGAGGGGGAGAGAGTGATATTAAGGTATCGAAAATTATTTTTTTCTATCAATAAAAATAGTCTTCATGTTTTGTTATATTTATTTTTTAATTAATAATTTATAAATCATTCAATTCAAATTTGATAATCAAAATTAATAAAGGTACGACATCGACCTTTGTACCATATACATATAGTGACAATAGTCATAAGCCTAGGGTAAGATGCATTAGGTTACTGAGGATCTTCCTATTCGGATGGATTCGGGGTCTCATGTATTAGGTTGAAATTACAGCACAATTAGCAAAAAGGTATAATTATAAAAATAATTTAATAAGTAAAATTATAAATAAAGAACTTTATATGTATTATTTTTTTAATTAATAAAAAATAAAAAATAATTTTTCTGTGTTATAATTGACCGGCCAATCAACTATGGTCATGTGTACAAGCTGATTAGGATTGACCCAATGATTTTTACCCTTTTGTACAATGTTAAAATGCATGTCTCAGTAATGGTCTTGAAGAAAAACCCATATGTACAAAGTTAAAATGCATGCCTTAGTGCATAGTGAGATTGTTTTACTAGTATGTTTTCTTGTGCAAGCTTTCAACACTCCAAAAATGATTGTCCCTTTCGGACGGCAATTGTTTTTAATGACAAATTTTATAAGGCAACCCAATCAAGATAGAGATGAATTATAAATTCAGATATTTTGAGTTCAAAATTTAATACAATTTCTTTGAAGTCAACTATGAAAAATTTATTTTTCATGAATTTCTAATCTCGACATAAATAGGTTGTCTTCAATCGAATCGAAGAAAAGATTAGTCGAATTGCGTGTAAGTTGATTGTGACATCCCTAACCACAATAAAATATTAAGTCACTATCATGAATGACAAATTCCACATGCAGCAATATGTTAGCATTGGAGACAAACGACACCATTGATTTCCAAGTTTATGGCTAGAATCTTTCTTTCTTTTGTTTATATACAAACCTATACATAAGCTATTTTTCTAATCTAAAAATATTATAATTACAAATTTTTTGGATCATGATTATAATGCAAACTCAGAATATGTATAATCAATCATAACTCCGCATATTTAGATCAACGAAGAAGTGTGCTTCGAAATTTGAATATGAAACTCCCAAAAAGAAATCTCCGACGAACTATTATCTGGAAAAAAAAAAAACTTTGTGCCTTTTTATTATAACTAGCAATGCACGATGTGCATTGTACGTGAAATTTGTTGTTGAAACATTTGGTAAAATATATAAAAAAAAATCTAATTATATAGCTATATTAGATATTATATCATATTTATCATACTTAAATTATTTATATTCTCTTCATATATATAAACATCGAATACACTCACTTGCCGTTATTCTTTCATTCGAGCTACCAAATAGTAAGGTTTATATATTTTTCTTTTTCAATTTTTTTTTGCCTTTCTTATTTTTACTTTGTGCATCAGTAATTTTTTACTAAATTATTCTAATTGTGAATGAAGAGATAAAATAAATATAGCATTTTTTAGGCATTGGAGATAATATTGTATCAATAGAATTGTCAACATGTATTAATATTGGGGTTTTAGAAAAAAAATAATATTATTTTTATGTATCATATTAAAGCATAACACGATCATTCAAAAATCTTACAAAAGAGAGATTTGAATGATATATTAGATATTAGTTTGTTATTTAAATACAAAGGGATATAATAGTAATTTAAATATTTAAATACAAAAAGACATGTTGGCCTTTGTAGTTTTTTTACAATGACAAAATAATGAATCAAAAGTTTTTCATATTAAGATACTTTTATTAGTAGTATAGATTTGATCTTGTTAAGTTGTAATTTTTTTTTTCATTATTATCCCATCAATACGTAGATTTTTTCAACATTTAGCATCCTCAACTTAAAAAAACTGGAAAATTTTTGTGGCATAAAATCTAAATCCTAAATAATATTTGGCGGGACTCTAGGTGGCTCTACAGCCCCCAGATTGACACGTGGAATGACAAATCCGTTGTGATATCCAAGAGGCGCTGAGGGGTAAGCCGAGGTATGGTGTCCCGATGAAGACGAGTACGATAGTTGGCACTGCGTTTAATACGATGTGATCTTTCATTTATGGCGGAATAAGTGATGGTAACAAGGGTATTAAATGTGCGTCTGCGAGTGCCTGCACTCTGAGAGTGTAAGTCTACCATCATGACGGCTAAGCATTGATGGCTACTACACCGAGTATATACGATCGACTCTCCCCAAGGAACTATTTCTCCGGGTATTCAATGCTCAGTTGCGGGTGTCAGACGTCGATCTGAGGGATGTGGATACTCGGGGGATGGGCATAAATGCTTGGCATGGTACCGAACACTCGTCCCATCATCTTAGCATTAAGTAGGAGAAGACTTGAGTGGAGAACATTTTTTGCACGAGGAGTGGCATGTCAGACATTAAACGTCCAGATGGGACTGAAGGTCTTTGGCAATCATTGCGCCTAGAACTACCAAGGATATCCAAAAATTGATAGGGATGTTGGCAGCCCTTAACGGATTTATTTTCAAGTCTTCTGATAAGTGCAGACCATTTTTTACCAAGTTGAAGAGGGCAGCTAAAGGAGTATGGGATAAGAAGTGTGGCCAAGCTCTCGAGGGAATTAAGGAGTACTTGAAATATCCTCCAACCTTATCCGTCCCGGCGGCTGCGGAGGTGCTTAACCTTTACTTGTTAGTATCTGAAGGAGCCGTGAATGGAGCGCTAGTCAGAGAAAGTGAAGGAGCCCAAAGACTCGTATACTTCGTGAGCAAGACTTTGCTCGACGCCGAGACGAGGTACTTTCCAATAGAGAAATTGGTTATGGCATTAGTAGTCTCGGCGAGGAAACTTCGACACTATTTCCAGGCTTACGCCATAGAAGTCCTGACTGATCTGTCTCTCAAGCCAATCCTTCATAGAGCCGATATTTCAACGAGGGTGGCCAAATGGGCTGTAGAGCTTGGGGAGTTCGAAATCAAGTTCAAACCTCGCACTTCGATAAAAGGACAAATCCTGGCAGAATTTATCGTCGAGTTCTCTGCGTCCGAGCCTCCACAAAGGACGTAAGCTCTAGGTGACGACGTTTGGGATCTGTATGTTAATGGATCCTCGAACGCAAGAGGGCAAGAATAGGTATGGTACTCGCCAACTCAAATGGATTCGTCATAGAAAGGCGATCAGATTAATGTTTAAGGCATCCAATAATGAGGCCGAGTATGAGGCGCTACTGACAGGACTTGACGTTGCATGTTCGGTCAGGGACAAACACCTTCGGGTCTTCTGCGATTCCCAGCTAGTTGTGAACCAGGTCAATGGGGACTTCGAGATCCGAGATAGCAGAATGAAGGCGTATCATCAAAAAGCAAAATTCAGAATGGAGAAGTTAGAAAAAGTAGAAAATTTTCCAAATTCCTAGATATCACAACACCCTCGCCGATGCATTGGCATGCCTAGCTTCGGCATTGGCCTCGGAGGTAACTCGGCGCATTATCATTGAGAACTGGGAAAGTCTAAGCAGGTGCTACTGACTCTAATGCAAGCACCTTCGGGATGGATGAACCCCATCATTGCATACCTAACAGAAGAAATGCTCCCCGAAAATATCAAAGAGGCTAGGAAAATTAAGCTCAAAGCTCTCAGATTCTGGATGTCAGCCAATCGACAATTATACAAGAAATCATTTTTGGGACCACTTTTGCTTTGTGTCCCCAAGGATAAAATGGAGTCTTTGCTATATGAAATCCATGAGGGTGTATGTGGAAGCCACACGGGGGAAGGTCTCTCGCGCACCGAGTAATGACGCAAGGATATTGGTGATCGTACATGTAGAAGGACGCCAAGAGTTATGTTCAGAAGTGTGATAAATGTAAGAAGTTTGCCCCCATTATCCGGCAACCAGCTGGAGATTTGAACTTGCTGACAAGTCCTTGACCGTTCTCTTAGTGGGGGATGGACATTGTCGAACCTCTCCCGAGGGCCCCATTAGGCAAGAAATTCTTATTGGTGGCAACCGATTACTTTACCAAATGGATCGAGGCCGAGCCCCTGAGCCGTATTCGGGATATGAAGACGAAGAAGTTCGTATGGCAGAACATTATCACCCGGTTTGGAATCCCTCGGGCTATCGTCTCTAACAACGGAACTCATAGTGGTCCATTTAGAGAGTTCTGTTCCGGGTTTGGAATACGTAATTACTATTCCACACCAGTCTATCCCCAAAGTAATGGACAAGCTTAGGTTTTCAACAAAATCGTGCTGGCAGGAATCAAGAAGAGACTCCAGGAGGCAAAAGGGAGATGGACCGAGGAATTACTCAACGTGTTATGGGCCTATAGAACCATGCCAAGGACATCAACAGGAGAAATCCCCTACGCTTTGACATATGGGGTTGAAACTGTCATCCCATTGGAGATGGGACTCCCAACAATATGAAGCCAAGCCTTTGAGTTGGGAAACAATGACCAGGTGCTCACTAGAGATCTCGATTAGCTGAAGAAAGGAGGGCATGGGCATCCATAGGCTGGCAAGGTATCAAGGGAAATTGTCAAAGCAACACCAGAAGAAGGTTCGAACGAGAAATTTTAAAGTCAGAGATTTGGTACTGCGAAAAGTGGTGGGCAATGTTCGCGAACCTACTGATGGAAAACTGTGTCCCAACTAGGAAGGCCCTTACAAGGTGGTCTCT